GAAACCAGAGATGCTCTTTCCCCAAAGGTGCGGGGACCAAGAGGGCAGGCACTGAGAATAAAGCCCCGGGCAGCCGGGCCCAGGAGCTCCGGGCTGCACTGTGGGAGGTTTAGACTCAATCATCGACGGAGACAGGGCACCACCAACCAGAGGGTGGGAGACCGCGCGATTCACTGTGGTGGGGGCAGGAGCTGAAAACCGCAGCCACAGAACCAAGCCAGAAGATGGTAATGAACCCCCAAATCCCAGCCACTGACTCTAATTGCACTACACATCCCTGGCCCCCAAAGTAAAAGCAAAGCAGCCTTAATATGTTGCTATTAGAAAAAAGTGGTGCGTATGAAGGCATCCGCCCATCACCGAACTGACCAGTGCAAAGAGAAGCTTATGTTTGTGCTTGAGAAATGAGTAACAACAGAGAAATAAAACACTGAACCTGATTCGCAGTTGCAGAAAGGGAGGGCAGTCTATGAACCCCATTCCCAGGGTTGGTGGAGGAACAGGTCAGGTGACGGGTTCCCTGGGGAGGGGTCCTCACTCTGAGTTTCTCTTAAAGCCGGGGACAGATAAGGCAAAACATGAAATTTTACTCCTTGCAAGTGCACTTTTGCCTGTAAAGCTTCGCCTTGACTGTTTCCTGAACCTTTACCTTTGCGTAAGATTGTTTGGGTATGTTCATTTGTGCTTTGGAGTTTTAAGGCATGTCTAGTTGACTATTGTATATTTACATAGCTAATGCAATTACAGCTAATCACATAATTGCTGGAAATGTGTATAATTGCCTGATCCCAACATATAATTATAATGTATAGCAACATTATGAATCCCATTTTTAAAATCCACATTTTGGGGCTATTTAAAGTTATTTATTAGAACTGTTGGTGGACTACCTATAGGCAGGCTTCAACTCTTGTTTCTTTACAAAGTGCTCAAAGTGCTTTAAAAAGCAAACAAAAACAAGTCCTGATTTTACAATGCATTTTGACAAAGATAGGTGAAAACAAAACAGCTACCCAGAACAAAAACAAATAAAATCTCAAATACCAAACAAAACCATTTGTCAACATTCTGTGGATTTTGCTCTTTCCTGGGGGAAGAGAAAGTCGCTCTCAGCCTGGAGGTTCTGATGAGTGTCTGCCAGGCAAGGAGGCTGCCGGAAGAAGGAGAGCCTCCCTCTGGACTTCGAGACCACTCAGGTAACCTCGGCGACCTGGAGGCACCTGTCTTTGTTCCTTATACATACGAATGACCTTGCTTGGGGGCACATCCCACTGAGATGTGCTTCCACAACGGCAAGCTCAACCCACTGGGAAGAGCAGAAGAGCCCACGACACAGAAGAAAGCACTGGGGCAGCTCCTTCCACCTCATCCCTGGCAGCATCTTCTCAAGACTTCTCGTTTTCCTCTATGACAAAGATGACGCAAAACGAGATTCCCAGAATTTCTAACTATCTGTGTGTTTCATAGAAACCAGCTTGTCTCCTTCTTCCTCACATCCATCCAACCAGCTCATCGCCCTCATTCCTTTTATTCTCTGTGGTCGTGAGAACATTCCAGAGGTGAGGAATGTTTCATGAGTTTGTTTATTTAAGAAGAGGTCCCTTTTATTTGTGCAGAGGAAATGGAGAAGCAGCCTCCCTGAGTCATGTTACAAGGGGACTCATCACAACTCAGCTGATGTCGTCCTCGGAACCATTTTCCACGTCTCTAACACATTTGAACAAAAGGCAGTAAAACGAAACACGTACTTTTTTCAAGTTGCGATCGCAATACCAACAGGAAAGGGGAGCAGCGTTTACGGACTGATTCTGTCATAACCCACAAGAAGAAACTCTAACAAAAAGTCACCACCAACAACAGCCATTGTGGTTTATTAAGTTCTACAAACCCAGGGCTCTGCAAGATGTTCTTCTGGGTTCCCTTTGCAATGCTGAGTGATTGTTAGCTAGCCCTCACTTCCAACCAACAAATGTTTGGGGCACACCAAACGAGTTCTGGCATAATGCGATAAGGCAGGTACTGAAACCCTCCAGCTGGTGCAGTTCACAATGTCAATGAGGTCAGCAAACTAAGCAGATAGGAAAACCTCAATTATACTTGAGAATGAGGAGACCACAATCTTGTTCTGATCAGCCTGTGTTATAAGGGGGCTCCTTCGTAATAATTCTTCTATGGCATTATAGGATTGTTTGATAGTAGGCATCAGAAAAAAAAACCAAAGAAACAAATTATAAATATCAAACTCAAAGAGTTACATTAAAAAAATTAAAATCTGGCTTTTACGTCGGCTAGAAAGGCCATTATTCCAGCTCATCTGGCTGGAGTCCCAAAGACTCTCCGCGTCCTGCTCCCAGAGTAGAGACACAGCACGGCGGGGTGAATCCCCACGGCCGATTCTGGGCATACAGAGTGATCAAACTCCATGCCACTTTTTCTTGCTTTGAAAGTTTCAAGGAGGAAGGGGCTGGACAGGCCTTAGAAAGCAGGGAAAGGTTGGAGAAGTATCTGTGCAGGGGTGATGCTCAGATTCCACCGGAGTACCTGCAGTGGGATCCTGGAGAGGCCTGCCTGATTCCAGAAAGAAAACAAACCTAAGGGACACAGAAGTCCTTGTGTCCTCGCGCGTAGGCAGTGGGAAGAAAAAACAGTTTGACAGGCTCTCTGCATATCAATACAGAACATTCTACAAGTAGTTGACACAATAGAGACATGGTGAGAATTCAAAGCTAGAGGGAGAGTGTGTGTGTGTGTGTTACATGTTCAAGGCCTTCAGGTGGAAGAAAGAGCTGAATCCAAGGTGCTGATATGAGAGAAGGCCAAACAGAGAAAAACAGACTGCCCAGGTTCCTGGGTGCAAACTGCCCACTGCTCAGCACCTCTCTGGCAGCACCTGTGAGATGGGTGCACCTGTCCTGACCCATAACAGCTGCCACAAGGACTAAGTCAGCTTATACACAGGAGGAGCACCAACAAAGCACCTGGGATCAACTGTGAGTGCTTAATGAGATGCCCAGGGAGCTGACAAATAGATGGCGACCCACATTGGAGTAACTGCATTTTGGCCTGTCTGCATGGATAGTGGTCACCGAGAAATTTAAACAATATAACTGCAAATGTATCTGGAACACTACACATGTGCAAGGTAACGCAAACTTCTGTTATAAAAAATTGGCTGAAAATTTCCTATCACACATGAAGAGGGTGGGAAGGTTGGTGAACCATCCTTCAGCACCCATCTGGGTGGGACAGAGGGTCTGCAAGCAGACAATACTTTTGCAGGTTTATATAGCCATGGAAACACAGAGGAAACGCGGCTGGCTTTTCAATCCCATTCTAGCTTCCGATGCAACACCCCTGGAGAATCCCGGGTGATGGGGGTGGAATCAGCTCCAGAGGCATTCCTGCTACTAACCCTGGAAAGCTGAATCATGAGCATGTTCCAGAAGCAAGTACTCAGTAACCTCAATCGAGCACCTTTACACTGGAAGTCAAGAGTAAATTTTACAACTCCCCATACAATCGGGAGAACCCATACTGTGGAATAGCCTACAAATCAATGGGGCCTGGGCTCTTCAGTAAGTCCAGTGTCTCTGAAAGTCAAAAAGCCCAGGGGATAATTTTAGACTAAGGAGACTAGAGAGATGTAACAACTCAACACAAAGCATGACCCTTACCTATTGCACAGGCAGAGACGTGGGGGGAATGCGGATATGCATCCTGTATTAGACAATACTGTCCTGAGGTTAGATTCCTGGGGTTCCTTCAAGTATTGGGAGGGTGTAGGAAATTGGATAAAAGGTGCCATGCCATAGGTCCTCCAGAGTAAAGGGCTGCCCCTGCATTTTTTCAGATGGTTCTGGAAGAAAATCCATCACCTACTCACACACGTGTCTATTTATATGTATATCTCTATTTCTATCTCCCCTCCAAGAAATCTGGAAAACTGAATGGCATATTGGTGTTCACTCTACTATCCTACCAACCTCTCTGTAGGTTTTTATAGTTCGCGAATGTTTACTTTAAAAAACCCCTTTAACGTCAAACTCCTTATACTGAACAACCGGAATGTCAGTGCTTTTGTGATCTTGCAGCGCAGAGTTCCGTGGGGCCGTGGAGTCACTCAGCAGAATGTCTACGATGTCCCCACCCCGTGTGGCTTGAGCCACATCTACTTATAGGACGGATAATTCCATATGGGGCAGCTGCAGGGGAAGGCCTGTGGGTTGCATATTCCTGTCTGCAAACTGGTGCTCAGCTACTACGTGTGCGTGAAGGGGTGCAGAGGGGCTGCGGAGCCACCTTCGCTTCCCTCCAAGAGCCACCCTGTAGGGCAGTACCAGCAATCACCCTGAGCAAAGAGCAGCCCTGTAGCACCGACCCCCCCATCTAGCAGGCGCACTCACCCCCAAACCCAGATCCACACACGGTGGTTCCTTACCACCCGCTATCTGGGAGAGTACAGTGCTTAATCAACGCTTCAGAGTTTTGTCCCCAGGTTTCCATTAGATTTTAATTATGTTTATTTTTCTTTTCACGAACAGAACACTTCCAGACATTTCCAAAGATACCAGGGACATGAACACACCACGAGGGGCAATGCTGGGCTCTTCAGGAATCTCATAACATCAGGGAATTCAGCATCGTAAATATCTTAATCCAAAACAGGTAAAGTCCTGAGATTTCAGGAAGTGAAAAAAGATAGTCCTAATCAACATCATCTTTCATATGCATAATACATGGAAGACATGGACCTCAGGGCCCACCAGCCCTGAAACTGTCCTCCTAGTCCCCAACCCCGCCCCAGAAGCCAGGCCTTGTCCTAAGCCAAGGCCAGGCCCATGGCCAAGGGCACCCAGCAGAGGGTGCCGATGCTGTGCGGTGTTGGAATCGCAGGAGGGACTCTGGCTTGCGGGGGTGGCACAGCCAACTCAAGGGAGCAGCCAGCAAGATTTGAGTGAGGGACTAGGTATGTTTGGTAAAACCGCCAAACACGCTCTTACCTTCACAAATTCTGTCCAATCGCTGTCTCTTGACTTTGTGCTTATCCACAAGGGCCATTCTTTATGGAACTTTGCAACTCTCAGATCAAAAGGCAAAGCAGTCCTCTAAGAACTTAAGGGAACTCGCAGGAGTCTGCGTGCATGACGCCACTATGAACCCTGAAACAAGGAGAAAAGAATCCTTACTCTCTGGAGACCCTCCGGGCACGGGACAACAGCTCATTGGGGACTTCACTGCTACTTTCTATAAGGGAACCTGCCGTCCGGACTCATGGGACTTGCTCTCTTCTCTAAACATGGGAATAGTGGTTGTCCCAAGTGCATCTCAGCCGTCTCCTGCTTATCATCTCATAATAGAAAGCAAGTGAATGCACACGAGACAATCGTCAGTTATTTCTGGAAGCAGCAAATTCCAACAGACCTCTTGCTTTTAACTTTAAGGCTATAAATGCCAATTTACTGACCAATTTGAAGTATAATAAATTGTGTTCCAGTGGCAGAGACCAAGTGACAGCCAGTTGGACCTGCCCCGGACGCACTCGCACTGAGATGCAGACATCCACTGCGGCAACTTGAGGGGCTCTGCCAAGGCCTTTGAGTTACAACAACGCTTTCCAAAACAGCAGCGCAGGGGTCAAAGCCACAGCTCAGCACAACACAAAATCCTGACCCTATCACGTGAGAACGCGGGTGGGAAGCCCCAGCAGCTCCTAACCAACGTTCGTCCGGTGCCACCTTCCTGAACCTTCCTTGCCGCTGGAGGGGACTGCAGTCAGCACCAGCAAGGGCAGGGTCCCAGGCTGCTGGCCTTGACACTGGGTCCCACCTATATGGGCTGAAGTATTTCTTATCGAGAGAGTGTAAGCATCCCCATGACGTTTCAGACAGAGGTGAGGCAGATGGAGGAGGCAAGACAGGGTTTCCCACGTAGTTTGGGGTATGTGGGATTCCTTAGAGGGAGACCTGACTGAGGCCCGGGGAAGAGGAGCTGCTGCCCATCCTCCTTCTGGAAGGGTCAGGATCTGAGCACTTTGGAAGCCTCTGACTATCACCAATGTGCCAGGTGAGGTCCAGATCATTAACTGCTGTCCCCAGTATCCCAGCTTTTGAGTCACTGCTCTGGAACTGCATTCTTTACATTGATTAAAGAAGGCTTGGTGAATCTTGGCCAGGCACAGTGGCTCATGCCTATAAGCCCAGCAGTCTGGGAGGCCGAGGCAGGCGGATTATCTGAGGTCAGGAGTTCGAGACCAGCCTGGCCAACATGGTAAAATCCTCTCTCTACTAAAAATACAAAAATTAGCTGGGTATGGTGGCAGGCACCTGTAATCCCAGCTACTCGGGAGGCTGAGGCAAAAGAATCATTTGAATCTGGAAAGTGGAGGCTGCGGTGAGCTGAGGTCATACCACTGTACTCCAACCTGGTGACAGAGCAAGACTCTGTCTTGGAAAAAAAAAAAAAAGGCTTGAAGAATCTCAATTGGGAAGCACAACATTTAAGGCCCACTCTATTGTCTTCTGTGTTTTTTTTTCCCCAAGGAACACAATTAAATCAGTCTTATTTTAAGAACATCACCACAACCACATACACACACACACACACAGAAAAAGGGGTTCTCAGTGGAAAGAAAGAGGGGAGATGGAAGACAAAAGTGAGGCCCAAGGGGTAGAAATGAGGATGATGATGTACGGCCATCAGTTATGCAAAACATTAAGAGTTACTTTATCAAAAGGTCAGACTCAGGTCTACCAGGTTTCTGTAAGTGAATGGCTAATTTCCCAGCAACGAGGCTGAAAAGGCATCCGAAAGATTTATGGCGATAATTACGTGATTTTCAATAAAAGAGCTTAGGAAAAAGCACAATTTCCAATCATATAAATAATTAATGTAACATCCCTGAGATACCAAACCCCTTCAACAATTGGGAAGTTCCCCCAAAATGAGGAATGACCATATCTGATCCGTCAGGAGATGAAGGTTGTCCTAGAATGTGTGGGGTTACCTTTGAGCAGATCCATATGGATATATTTTAAAAACTGGTTTTGCTAGTGTTGGCTTTTTTATTTTTGGTGAGACAGGGTCTGCTCTTCACTCAGGCTGGAATGCAGGGACAAGCTCATGGCTCACTGCAGCCTCAACCTCCCAGGCTCAAGCAATCCTCCCACCTCAGCCTCCTTAATAGCTGGTACTACAGGCATGTGCCAACATGCCTGGCTAATTTTTGTATTTTTTGAAGAGATGGGGTTTCACCATGTTGCCTGGGCTGGTCTCGAACTTCTGAACTCAAGTGATCCACCCCCTCAGCCTCCCAAAGTGCTGGGATTACAGGCGTAAGCCACTGCACCTGGCCAGTGCTGGCCTTTCTGAAAGGCAACCACACAAAAAAAGAGTCCCTAACTGTAGCCAACTTGAGAGTTACTGGAGGTGGGGCGAAGGGCCAAACCTATCAATCTGGGCTTCTGTCCATGCCCCCCACCCACAAGTGACTCCAGGTGAGGTTGACCACGGAGGCTCGGGCCAGCAATTGTCATTTGCTCAGGCCCAAGCTCTGATGGCCAAACTGTAGTCTGGCTCCCCCTCAACTCTATTGTAAAAACAGAATTCCACGTCAGCTGCATCATCCAAGGGGGGAAAAGAATTAATTAGTTAATTTTTGTGAAGACCTCGGAGATGAAAAATGACAGCATTATAATCTGAGGCAAGGCGGGTTTCACACCCTCCTCCCCCAATCCCCAAGTGAGGCGTAATCATTCTTTTTGCTTTCCTTTGAATTTTAATTTGTATAATTAGATGGCTTCCTGAAAAATTGATAAGTAGAATTTCAATCATGCAATCAAAGGAAAGATCAGCCATCAGCTTCCACAAACGCCAACATTCTACTATTAAAAAAAAAAGAGGCTGACTCCCATGTCTGGCTTTTTTGGGGGGTGGGGGGAAAGGGGGGTCACCCTCTGTTCTGGCCCTTCTGTGGGTTTCTTTTTGCACACCCTGGCCAGTGGCACCGACCCATGTTTAGTGCTGGCCATCTTGGCTCCCAAGGCCACCAGCCTCTGGGTCTGGTCTGGGCAGTGACCATTGATTTGTGTAGCCTGAATCCCCTCCCCCGATATTTCTTTTGCAACAAGAATGTATGAAATGTGACATTTTCCTCCTTAGCCCTCCCAAGGAGCAAGCTATTTACGAGGACTTAATTACCACAACTATCTTCCAATGACAGCCACAGGCCCTCCTTGGAGCTGAGCTGCACACAGCGGACTCCAGCTGGTCTCCATGCTGAACAAGCCAGCACCCCGGGTCCACACTGGCTCTGGGCTCCCTGACATCATCACAGCTCTCTTGGTGATGCCTGCTACAAAAACCAGCCTCTGCCTTTATTTTAAACCAGTTTCCACTCATAAATCAATTTCCCCCCCAAAAAACACCGAACAACATGGGCACAAATAAGGAAGGAAAAAAAGTAGGGGGAATGTGTTTCACTATTCCACTTCTGCTGAAATTGCTCCTCAAACCATGTTAGTGGCGGAATTGTGGGTGGGGAGTTCTAGACCCTGCTTGTGGAATGAGCTTGGATGAGCTGTTCTGAAGACTCAGGCTCCTTGTTTGTAGAATGGGATGTCACTGTGATGTCCCAAAGTGGCAGTGAGGACCAACCAGTGAGAATGTGCACAAAAGCACTGGGTAGGAGCCCGCAGGTCTCTGCGAGCTGCTGCTGCCTTTCCTCTGACACCCCCTTGCACATTAACCCTGCAGGGAACACTCACTCCCTTCTGGCTGAGGCTGGGAGGTAAACCTCAGTGAAGTTCACGGTCAACAGGAAAGCTGTATCTTTTCAAAAGGAAGAAGAGTGCCCTGAAGCCAAACCTCACAAGAAGAAACACTGCCTCCCCCTAAAAGGGAAGTTTTGGGGAGTCACAGGCCAAACCCCAACCAAAGATCAGAAACGTGGACCTCAAATTTTATTTGCTTGAAGTGAGGGCTGTGATCCAGGGCTGAAATATTTGGTGTCAGGACATTCAGCTCCCTTCTGAAGACGAACAAGGCTTGGAAAAGAAAGCCACTTGGAGATACTTGGTGGTTTGCAGAGGGGACACGTATGGAAGATGTGTTCCGTGGAGGTATCACAGAGAATGTCAGATTTTTAAGAAATTAGAGAACAAAAAGGAAAAACGGCACATTTTACAACCCCTTGCTTGGCTATCAAACTCCAACACATTCAGAATCAAGGGCAGGCGAAAGGGCAGGATTTCTAAAATCTGAGCAGGTTAATTTTACTCAATGACCATCACCAGCTCCCTCGCCGCCATCATGAGGTTCTCTACCAAGCGCCCTTAGGTTACACAGCACAAAAACCCAGCCCATCAACTCAGTTTTATAGACCCTCTCGATTTCTTTTTTTCTTTTTTTTGAGACAGAGTCTGCTCTGTAGCCCAGGCTGGAGTGCAGTGGCGTGATCTCAGCTCACTGCAAGCTCCGCCTCCTGGGTTCACGCCATTCTCCTGCCTCAGCTTCCCGAGTAGCTGGGACTACAGGCGCCCGCCACCACACCTGGCTAATTTTTTGTATTTTTAGTAGAGACAGGGTTTCACCATATTAGCCAGGATGGTCTCGATCTCCTGACCTTGTGATCTGCCCCCTCCCCCAGCCTCCCAAAGTGCTGGGATTATAGGTGTGAGCCACCGCATCCGGCCGACCCTCTCGATTTCTTGACTCCACTTCCTAGTCTTCATCAAGAATAGGCAGCTGAAGGGATTTATAGAAGGCATGCCTCTGACAGTGCCTTTCTTCAAAATGAAATTTCTTTCAAATCCAGTTAAACATGATGATGGCTTTCAATTCTTTCAAGGAAATCTACTTAAACATTCTGTTAATAAAGGCAGACCGAGTTTCACAATATGCTCACAAATTAATATCATCGTAGTTAAGCAAGTTCTGGCAAAGTTCTCTGAATGTGTCTCTGGAGAACTCAGATTTCATTGTTAAGTATGAGTGGGGTGTAGATTTCATGTTTGAGAGGTTGAGGCAGGAAGAAAAGACCCCAGCAACCCAGACAGCCGCATCGATGCACAAGGTCCACCACCCTTCTGAGCCTGGGATCCCAAAAGACAGGACTCACTCCTGAAAAGCTTCCTTCACCAAAGCCTCCAGGGCCTCTCAGTGC